GTTTATACAAAAATAGGTAAGTATATAGTATGCTTGTACGGCTTCGGTGGTATAATATTATGGCTGTTTGGAAGTATTAATACTCACAAAGTGTTCTTTCTTAGATTCCTTTATTTCTCGTCTATCGTCTAATTTCAAACCATTAAACATCGCCACAAGGAGGTCCATGGAATCAACCGGTTCGGTCATTTCTACTTCGAAATCGTCCACAAAATACTCGTGGCACATCATTTTGGTCATCTTTCGGAAATCGCTCGTCCGCAAACACGGACACAGTTCCAAATCTCCAGTTATCTCCAGCATTTTCATCTGTTGGTTTATCTTCCACACGTTTTCTTTACAGACTGGTAACGACCTATTTGGAGCTGCATAATTCGTCGAGGCATTGCAGACTCCAGTCATCGCGTCACATCCAGACATTACGGTAGGAGATGAATTATCAGCCGACTTACCAAACCAAGCCAAAAATGTATTGCTCGTCTGGATTTTTTAACGAAATATCCGCTTATTTTTATTTTTCCGATCAATCGGAACAATTTGAATTTTGAGTGAAGTAGCAAAATGCCACTGCGAAATAATGCGTCCCAGCTTACATCACATGGCACGATACGACATAATGAAGTTGTACAATAAATTATAGAAAAAACTTTGAAAAGCAGTTGAATAGTTGAAAGAGTGTAGAGTGAATACTTAATATACCAAATGGATTTTTGTTTTATATCGTTCCAATTTAGAATATGTACTGCGTATATATACATTGTTTATTTCCGGTATCTATGTTGTAACAAAATACTCGTTGATTTAATTTCAGCCGTCGAATATATTTATATTATAATATAGATGTATGCTTAAATATTTTTACAATAATGTATATTATTAATATAAAGAACTCGAACATCACTGCACATATCAATCGGCGGTGGTACAAAAAAAATTTGTAGAGACTCAAAACATTATACTTATTATGACATGAAGCTCGCATATATTGTATAATATTATATAATGCATGTTCAACATAGAACATATTTGGACTTCAGCGGAATTAATTTTGTGTTTTTAGTTGTATTATTACCACAGATATATACAATAATTTTGTTATTGTATATATCTGTGATTATTACAGTATTTATTATCAAATGATTTAAAGGTAAGGATATTATCAGTATTCTTTAGGTGGCTTTTTCTATCTTCATTTACTGAAGTCATGCATTGGCAAACCATTTCCAAAGTACTAAAAAAGCATTTATATTGTTATTACTTATAAGTTATTTCTTTACGGATGAAAATATTTAAATCTCAAGAATTTAAATTAGAAGAACTTATCTGATTGTGTAAAAATAAAACCCAAAGTTGAAAGTATTGTCATTGACGACTGACACAAATGACACGAGCGGCGCCGCGGCGGCAACGAAATTGCATAATATTGCCAAAAAAATGTATGAATGATTTGGTAGTTGAAAATTTATAAAATGTTCAACTTTTAGAGCTAATAGGATTGAAAACTTACAACAAGGTTCCGCGTAAGTAGGTTCTTCTGTAACCAAAAAATCTCAAAAATATAAATCACGGTTTTTTTTTTTAGTTATTTAAGAAAATATAATTTGAACGTATTATTAATTAGAAGTTCTAAACGTGGATTAATGAATATTTTTCGAGCCTAATTTTTTAACCTATTTTTTTCTGTGTTACATACATATTTTATTAGTGCGTATACCCATAGATATATTTACCAATACACCACTGGACACGTCTATACACAATTCACTATACTGTCTATACTTGATAAATACATAATTTATATGTTAATACATTATTTATTTTTTTTGTTATACTAGTATAATAGTATTTATAAATACTTATAAACAGGGCCGTCCTGACGATTTGCGGGGCCCAGGGCAGAGTAAAATTGCGGGGCCTAAAATGTCATTACTCGTTGTTGGCAGTGGCATATATTTAATATTATAATAATACCTATATACTTAGGTAAGGGGGCAACGCTCAAATATACTTAAAAAATATTACCTTGTACTTACAACAATTATTGTTATTTATTTTCTATCAAAAATAGTCAAAATATTGTAAAAATGTTTTAAGGAAAGTACTTATATAATTATTTGTTGAAAATGTCCAGGTTCTACAGTCATTAATTTATGAGTGAACCAAAAAAATAAAATCTTTTTCAAAAATTGGTTTTGTATAAAAGTTACCTCTTTTTTTGTTTTTAAAAGTAAATATACTTGAAATTTTTAATTTTTAATTCTCAAAAACACTAAACAATTTCAATTTTCTATCAGTATATATGCTGATATCGAAAATCGGAGCACTTTTACTACACAAAATGTGGCTTACAAAACAGAAAAAAAAACATACATCATTATAAAATCAATACATTTTTTCTCTCTGCTGAGAATTTAATATATTATAAATTAACCTTTCTGCGTCTTAAAATATCAAATGTGTCAATAAAAATTTAAATTTAAATATACATTTTAGTTCGTCAGCATTTTTTTCTATAGATATTATAGCTAAGTTGGTGCCTGATTTTCGGACAGTGAGCTTCGAAGATAGTTATTTTTATAATTTTCTACTTTGAAAATTGAATTTTAACCATATTAACTCATTTAAAATGCGATACATTTATTTGACGTCAATTAATATAAGTAGGTTTAGGTAGTAAAAATTACAACAGTTGGAGGTATAAAAATATATAAATGATACATTTTTTTTTGCTCATTTACTTGACTTTATTATTGTATCTATAAAAGCGGCGCCTGTCCAACTATGGCGAAAGCGCGGGGCCCGGGGTGAGGGCCCCGCTGGCCCTGCCATAGGGACGACCCTGCTTATAAAGTCATAATTATATTAATTAATAGGATAAGTCAATAGGTACACATTATACATTTATAACTAATACATCACATATATAATATAAATACTTACACCAAAATTGATAAATTACATAAAAATTACATCTTAATTTATACTGATAATATATATAGTTGCTTTATGTGTATAATAAAATTGGTTATGAACTTATGGTCAAAAATGAATAAATAAATGAAATTTGGTATGGTCTCATGGACTCAACAGTTATGGTTAGTTTAAATTAAATATTTAAATGTTATTTTTGTAAATAAAATCTTGATTGCCTTTAAGGAAACATTTTGTCTGATAGGTTAGATCTACTGGGTGAATGCACAAAACTATCAAATGAAAATCAACTCTCAACGGGAGCAGATGGACACAGACTTGTATTATATTTTATAAATAGTTTTTTTATAGATGGATAATTATTTAAGCTCTACTGATGTTCAAATTAGCACACGGCCCCATATGAAACTAGTATAGACTATAGATTCTTTTATTATCTATAAAGATTTCATTCATAAAAATATTATAATATTATAAAACATTTTAATATTATACGGTATGCGTTGGTCGAACAAGGAATTAAACCACTTTTTGACTTTCATTTTGACGACGCCATGGGTGCCAAGCTTGACGCTCAAACACGGGCACACGGCTTTCAGATTTACGCTTTTCGACTTTCATAAGAACCGTAATACATTATTTTAATACCACAGAAATACAGAATAGAATTTCAATAGATAAAATATTTAATTTATCGAAAAAAAAACGTCGTACCCAAGGTGGATATACAGAGTGTCCCGTCAGGATATACCCATTAGCCGTAGAGGGGGGGACTCGCCGCCCTGACAAAAACCGGTTATTTGCCATTTTACCAATAAACTAAAAAAATTATTTAAAATAGTAGGATTAATGGAATTAAAATGTTGAAACGTCAATATTTTCAGAAAAATGAACTCTACAAAATGTCAATCTTCAATATTTTTTTAAATAATTAATTAAAAAAATAATTTTTTTTAACTTTTTTACCAAAACATAAAAAAAAAAATAAAAATTAGTTATTTGTAGTGCTTACCTCTGTGAGTCTTAATAAGAAAACAGAATTACGATATCTCTATTATTTCAGGAGATATCGCAATGAGTAAATCCTCACGGGACACCCGGCCTGTATATACCGTGTGTAACAGAAAGAACTGACCAAAAAAAAAAAAAATTGATGCTACTTAAATGTATGACAAAAATTGTTGAAATTATATGATTAGTAAATAGTTTTAAGAATATACCCATGTTATAAAATTTCCAAAAATAATATTTTTAAAAAAGCTATTGCGTTCCAAATTTATTTTATCAAAACAATATTGATATTTAAAAAAATTCTAAAAAATAAACTACTAGACTTAGATAAATGTTTTTACCATCCAAATCGTTCTTAAAATCAGATTCACAAGTTTGCTATTTTGAATTTATTCAAAAAAATTTAAGTCAAATTTAAAATTTTTTATTTTTAGTATAAAAAAATAAAAATAATTTTTTTCCTCTTACACGTGTAGAACAAGTGGCTATAAATGATATATAAAAAAAAAAATTAAAAATAATGATCATAACAAAAGTTATTCCAAAAGTCAGTTCTATCTGTTACACCCTGTATATATATTATATATATCCACCTTGGTCGTACCACCAAATCAATGGTACCAACGTCACAATCACTGACGGTGAAATCCAATTTCTCCCGGAGTGATGAGAACAATATGATAAGACCAGACGAACAGTGCACGTGCGCGACGGAATGTAGCCGGCCGGCCACGGACTTTTGGCCACACTGTACTCGGAAGCGCCGGGCCAATCATTTGCGGCCGTCGTCGCTGCCTCCGCCGCCGTTCTCTCTGACCGACTGCCGTTGCCGTGTCCCGTATGATAGGTGCTCGCACGTACATCGTATAATGTTATAGCAATATATTATATTGGTATATTTAACAATAATAATAATAATAATAACAAATAACAATATAGTGTTGTACGACGACGGACTTGGTGTTCACCGACCGGCCGACAATCGACGTCCACACCGACCGCACTCACCGTTCTCGCTTTTTTCACGCTGCCGTTAGCCAGCAATCGCTTCGCTCGAGATGGCCATCACAAACACAGTGGGTGAGTACATGCGGCGCCGTTCTGGCGATGCACGCCGCGACGTCTTTGTCGTCCGTCTCGTCCGGCCGACCGCGCGATTAGCCCCGTCCGGACGGTTTTGTCTTTGAGCGGCGGCGGCGACCGCGTTTTCTTCGAATTCCGTATGGTCTCCGACCGATCCGGTCTGCTGTCCGGAAAAAACGATATGGTCGTCGCCTGTGCTCGCATGGATATTATTATTTTACTAAATCGAGACTTTGTTGCGTTCCATGTGTATTCCCCGACTTGAGTATAATATTATTATTATTATCGACATGTTCCATAGCAATTTACCCATTGTGATTCCCACCATTGTTTGCCTCAAGTTCAGGTGGACACAATCGATGGCTCGCTCTTGACCTGACGGCAAATGTTGTAAGCGCCGTTACTTGTTTTGACTCCGATTATTTGGTTTTCTGGAGACAGCAATTATAATATAGCCACAACACTCTGTTGTTATTTAATTATTAATAATAATATTGATGTTTTTTTTTTTTTTTTTAAGTGATTCCAAGAAATTTTAGACTACTTGAAGAGTTGGAACAAGGACAAAAAGGTGTGGGCGATGGCACAATTAGTTGGGGTCTCGAAAAAGACGATGATATGACTTTAACCCAATGGACTGGAATGATCATTGGACCACCTAGGGTATAAATATTATTAATATTATCTTAGTATTAAATAAATATCATATTTCATTGAAGTGTTAAGTATTAATAATTATGTTTTCTTATTTAGACTCCTTACGAAAATAGAATGTACAGTTTAAAAGTAGAATGTGGTCCTATGTATCCGGATGATGCACCTGTCGCTCGCTTTGTGACGCGCATCAATATGAATTGTGTGCATAATACAAGTGGATTGGTATGATTTATATTTTATAACTTTTTTCTATACTTCCATCTATTTTGTATCATGTTACTGATAGAACCCATTTAAATCAAATATAATAATTATTCTTGAACAATCATCTTTGAAATGTAATTTCATATATTATATAAATGTCTTAATTCTTAAATTGACAAATTGTATTTAATTAAAATAAAAATGTATGATTTAGGTAGTAGGTACTATAAATTATTATTTGTGCATTACCTACTACATAAATATTATTTATTTTATATGGTTAATATTTTATAAGCAACAAGTTCCAGATAAATGTTACCTTACATCTCTTTATGAAATTAATCATAATTTAATTAGGTAGTAACAATTTATAAAATAAAAAAAGTAAACATTATTCATTGGTTTCTACATTACATGACTAGGATATTCAAATATGAAGATAATAATACTTCCTACTTTTTACAAATAGTATTAAGGTAATCAATATCTAAACATCAGTGGACAGTGATTGATTTTTTTTTTCGTAACATCTGTGTTTTCTGAGTAGTTATTTATTTTTACATTTTCTATTTTAAAATTAAAATAAGAAACTATTACCTTGATATTATGGTATTTTTCTGTTATCTCTACTACCAACCGATACCGTCAGTCTCAATTCCGTTATCTCAATTACCACTTGATTCCTCAAACTCCGCCGCTTACATATCAAAACTCACTCATTAATCTAAGTATCTAACTGGTGTTAGTATGTAAGTTTGAGATTATTATTTTATTTAGTATTTAGTATTATTTACTATTAATTAAAATTATGAATAGAATGTTATTTATTTTATTTTATTTTATTAATAACTGATTTTATGTTTGATATTATAACTCTCCACTGCTGTCATTTTTTATATGATAATAAATGGTATACAGTTGAGTTTCAATAATTCGAAAAACTTAACAACTCAATTATTTTTTTTTACTTCTCTTAGGCTTAGGTTAGGTGAGGTTAAATTTGAGATAGGTGTCTCGAATCAATTTATTATTTCCCTTCAACTTTGAACTAACCCAAAATTGGAAATTTCATTTCAGTTCTTTGATTTTAGAACATTTCTTCCTCAACATCCATGTATCCTCGAAATAGTTAATTAGCAAGTTAAGGAACTCTTTATTTTTGCAAATTTAATTTAATTTTCATTTTCATTGCTGAGAATATATTATATAAATATATATATATTCAGGCACTAACTAATAAGTCATTTTTAGGGAGTTGTGTTTAGGCAATTCTTTTTTTTATTGTAGTGACTGCTAGTCTTTATGTAGGTATGTAGTAGACACATGCACATTTCATTTGGTCATAAGATCAAAATATTCATAACCAATTTATAGGCGTGGAATAGCTATGTGACTGACTTGTTCTTCCCAAGGATTGATTTAAAGTGTTTAAAAAGTGTTTGAATGCATAAACAACATTGCTTTGCATTGGTTAGAGCACTTTTTCAATTTTAGCAAATTTATGACTGGAATAACATTTAAATAAAATTAAGTTTTTATATTAAATATATTTAAAAATATTAAATTTACAAACTTATATGGTTTTATAATCTGACTGATGCAAAGTAACTTCTTTACCAAATCTTAACATTTTTTAAACCGTACTACTAGAAATACCTTAATATTTCTGTCAGTCGTTTAGGTCGTTTTGATGAAAAATTAGTAGGGTTTGGAAAGGCCTTAGTATATTATTTACTCTTATGATATCATACACCTTATTAGAATTACTATTAATCTGTTTTCAGTTTGTTAGCCAACACTGAACCGGACATTGTAAGAATGGCCCTTAGTTAACTTATATCTGTCGATTTAGCAAGTGGTCAATAAATAGATACCTAATTAATTTCCCATTGTCTTAGTTCTTGTAGTTTTTTAGAAAAATGTATCTACTGTACATTAAAAAACAGAATTTAGTCTGAAATAAATGTTGCGTGTTCGTGTTGGGAATTTATATTTTATTATAAATGACATAAATCATTATTATTTTTTTTAATTCGGCTTGACAATTTTTGAGGGTGCTCAGCCACCATAAGTTGTGTTTTATCTAGACTACTGACACCAGTATTAACCAATATTAACCCAAATAATAACGGTTATTAAAACTCAAAGATTCTTTAAACATTTTTATTCCGGTGTTTGAACACCCAAATACATCCAGCACCTGAAACCCAAATAAATGATTCAGGTGCTAAGCCCGGGTCTTTCCTCTAATTATTTTATAGAAAAAATATGTACTTATGGTAAGTTCTTCCATTAAGCAAGTATGTTATTTTTGATTAACTCACAAATATTAAAATTCATTACAACTAAACAATTCAACCCATTTCCTCTTGGCATGTAATACAAATTACAATTGCGATCTTCTTGAAAAACTAGGTCGATCAAAGTTTATTATATTACGAACTAAAATTCTGTGCTCTATATTGTATTAGAATGATTGTTTTTGGTTTCATTCAGTTTAACCCCAATATCATTATTTTTTTTTATTAACATATTTAAGAGTAAAATATTTGATAGTTTATGTTGTTATTTTTTTTTTAGGTTGATAATAGGCAAGTGCCAGTTTTAGCTAGATGGCAACGTGATTATAATATCAAAACTGTTCTGCAAGAGCTTAGACGATTAATGACACTTAAGGATAACATGAAAATGTCTCAGCCACCTGAGGGTAGCACATTCTAGCCATCGCCGCTGTCTGAACCATGGAATAGTTTGTACCTTGCGCCTCGCTACCAACCCACAGCGGCCGCACCGGTACAACCTACACAGCCGATGCAAGCAGTACAACAACAACAACAACGTCGCTTCATTGGTCGTTGCCTGAGGATTATATTCCCATGCTGCTATTATACAGCTCCTCAGACCGACACCTAGATTTTACCTTAAATGTTTGGGAAATGTCTACCCCTTTCATTTTTGGTTTTAAACATATTTCCACAGGAATATAAGTTTTACAGGTCATTTTGTTTTATAATTTTTGTTAATTTTTCATTTAATTTCATGGTTCAGAAAGCGATATCACACTTAGGCATATTTTATATACTATTATATTATATTATAAACTCTTAAATAGATACTTAGACATTGTTTTATTTTAAGTACTAAAAAAAAATATATATATTTAAATCATAATGAATATAACTTGAGGTTATTTGTGAGTAGGTAATTACTAATTGAATTAGATAATCATAATTTACTAGTAATGACATTCTCACAATAGATTCTCACTGTCTTTAATAGCTAAAGAAAATATTTATAATATTTAATACTGATCATAATTCATGTTTAAACTTTAGATTCACTTCAGTTTCTGTGTTTTGTGTTATTTATTGTACTAGTTTTTAATATTTAAGAACGTGTAAAAAATACAACACATATTTTATGTTTTTAAAGGGTTTAAAAACTTATTACCTGGAGTTTATTTTTAAACAATTTAATTTATATTATATTTTATTTTTAATTTTACATTTAATAAATTTTTAAATATGTGGGGCAAGCCTGAAATAAATACTTTAAACATTGTCTTGTCATTTTAAATTCTTCTCTTTTCAAGTTCTACTTACAATTAGTTAGAAATTCTACTAACTCCTTAATCTAGTATTATTTGAAATTTTAGTTATATAACAACTGTTAACAAAGTTTGCCATTATTGTTTTTTAAATAGTGTATGGCTGTCAGCACTGTTAAGTTTATGCTACTTTTAACAGATAATACTATATTTATTAACAGATTTAACTATTTAAGCAATATTAATCATTTTTAGTTAAAATATGGAAGATATGAATAAATATCTAAATTAAGTTTGTAAAACATGACTGACACTAAATATAATTCTCCAATAGTTTTTCAGTAAATTGTTTATTTATTTAAATTATTATTAATAGTTAAATAAAAAATATGTAATCCTTTTTTAGAATAATTTGAAAAATAATAACATTTGATATTAATTTTTCCTCATTGAATAAAAGTAATGAATAATGATTAATAAAATGTTAAAATAACTAACAGAATTTGGAGATTGTATCGAACTAAAAATAAGCAATTATTCCACCCAAACTCAAGCAAAAAAATACCTTTATCATGACTTATACAATATTATGTATTTATGTACCCATGTGGAAATTGGAATGGAATACAAAGTTTAACTATATTGAGTTACTAGTATTTACTATTTTTGCACATAAATATTTATGGAGGGGAAATCGTAGAATCAGTTAGTTTTTACTATTCTACATAGAATAGGCAAAGAAAAAAAATATTGATTAATATTAAATATTTTAATAAACAGTTAGTATAAATAATAATTGAGTAATATGAGTTATGATGATCCCAACATTTATAATTTCATGTATGTTGGTAGTATTTTTTTATATCATGATATTTAAAATGTTTCTGATCATTTCTATCAGTAACTAAAATAAATTTTAAAATAAACTAGTCTTTAAATTGCTAAGTATAATATATACCGTAGAATGGGATAACTTTGATTTTGTGGGCCAACTTTGATGCCCTTATATTTTTATTCACCAGAGTACCATGATGATTTAATTTTTTTTTATGAAACTGGGTTACTTTGATATCACTAAGAAATATATAAGTTGCCCAGTACATGTGTAACTTTGATGGCATATTAAAAAGATTGATATCTCTAAAGATAACATAAGAAACATTAAAACTAGCTATAACTAAGATTTAATTTTGAGAGTTTTATCGTTAATATTACAGAAGTTATCCATAAAACAAAAAATAAAATTGTCAAAGTAACCCCATTTTACTGTAATATAAAAATATATTATATATTATTAATTATTATTATTGGTAAACTAAATATATTTTCCTATTTTAATATTTTTAAGTTTTACATTTTATTACATTAAGTTGATAAGTAATTATGGTGTACAATGTACCTATAAACCACCGTAATTAAAATTATATATTTATTACAAATTACAATATACTTATTATAATGCCTATTTATGCCCTAAAAACCTAGCAGTTATGTCCCACTGAACGAATTTGCTAAGGCGGGCATTAATTAAATAGTTTATTTTCTAATCAACTTTTTAACTTAACTAGTTTAATTTACAGTTGAAATAACTTATGACTTTCCTCAGTATATTTAAAAATAATATATTAAGTTAAACAATTTTGAAATATTTTTTTTATGGTTATATATGCAATTATTAATACTACAATAATTAAAATTAAAATAATCCAATGCTGTAATAACACAAATATTTCTTTTGTTTTACTTGATAAAATAATTTTATAAATAGTTATATTTTATCCCCACAGAGCTCGCCGCTGGATGTTAAAATGGAACATAGGTACTACAAGGAGCTTAAAACAGGCAACAACAGCGTGTATAAAAAGAAAGGCTGATCAGTGATCATTAACAAATTTAAAAATTAAAGTTAAGTTTAATCTGGAGAGTATAGGTAAGAAATTTAGATATTTTACAGATAGGTAGTTAATATTTTCGACTACTTAGTACTTACTAAACATATGCTATACTTTGGCTCAGTGGCGTGGTTAAAATATATGGTTTGACCTTTACGACGACTAGGCTTCATGCTGAACATTTTAAAAAGGGGTAGGACGGTGCTTGTAGGTAGGTGCCGCGGCCAGGTAAGTAAGATGTAGATAATAATAGCAATTATTATTATCACTAGATTATAAGTATTTAGTTTTCATCTATTTGTGTTTTTAAACAAATTTCATGAGCATTATGAAAGAGGTGGACTTGGTAGGTACTGGCTTAGAGGTGCCCAAGATATTGTATTTTTCAGGTGTAACAAGAAATAATTTTACTCACCCACAAACTCAAAATTATATTATTTTATCAGTGGCGTAGCCAGGGGAGCCCCCCCCCCCCCGAAATGTTAAGAAAATTTAAAAATTATTTTAATGGTCTATGATAGTCGCTCAAAAAGTCTTGAATTGTATTTAAAATATTTAAAAATGTACTATATGTATTAACACTTTTCAGCTATCTATCTGTGCTAGTACGTATTTAATATGTAAAAGTGTAAAAGTTGATCAGCCAACCCCCCCCCCCCCACCCCCGAAAAAAAATCCTGGCTACACCACTGTATTTTATACATTTTATCATATTTTAATTGATCATATTAGTAAATATTAAGGTATCAACCAATATAATCTGTAATTAATAATGAACATATTTCAAATTAATTATTTTATGTTATTATAAACACCCACCCACCCTAACCTTATTGTAACGGCCGCTACACCTAGTAATAGGGTTGGGCCCTACTGAATAAATAAAACTGGCTTATCAGTTGCTTTTAGTGCACCTGATATTATGGTGGAATTTTTATGAAAGTCCGAGACAAGAATAAAACTGGAAAAATATCACTTATCAGTGCTTTTTTTATTTTAAAACGTACACGACCATAGTCATTTCATTCTTTGAGGATATATCGACTTATATATCCGGCGTCGAATAATCCGAGTATCAAAAAATTCCTAAATATGTGATGTATTTTTATTATAGAGTAGTATCGTCAAATTATTTTTCTTGAAAGCCAATATACATATTATCTGAATCAAGAAATATTTTATCACTGCAGTACCTATTAAAAACATTATACTTGTATGGTTTTAATTTTGTTACAGAAAGATTCATTGCATTTTGCATTGTACAGTGGTGATTGGTCAGGCAAGAGTTTAAAATATAAAAAAATGATCTTGTTTGCTATGCGAATGAATAATGCCGACCAACTTAAACTGCAAATAACTATGACAAGAATAGTGAATCTTGAAATGTTTACAGGCGTACGTGTAATCTTAATTATTAGTAAATAATAAATATAATATTTTATGAAACGATTATAGGGAAATACTGTTTATAATAACCTACCGTTATTTCAATTAAATTGGCTGATGTTTAGGATTTCCTACTTGTACCTAAAACTATTTCAATATTTCACACGTTTTGTCTAATTGTTTAGGTTATGCGGACAGCGTATACAGTTATGTTGTCAAATCAGCTTGCAAAACAAACATAATATATTATAATATACATATAGTAGTATTAATAATTATTTAAATCACTTGCAAATTCTATAATTATAATATAACACAACCTATAAAAAAAATGAATAGTAATTTTTAGTCATAAATATGTACTAAAAAAATTAAATATTGTTAGATAAATTGAATCTTTTTAGAAATTTGTACTTACAAATAATCGAAAAAAATAAATTGAACTTAAATAAAAATGCCTTATTGATCATTTTATTTTTTTATGATTGGAATATATTGCAATAACCTATGTATACTGCATATTTATAAATTACTGGGAAGTAAGTTCGTTGTATAAGTTATAACTTATAAAGCACCAATTGACTGGCTAGTACCAAAAAACAAACATAGATCTTGTTTTTTTTTTTTACTTATTAATTATTATCACTACAATAAAATAACTGTGTAAAAAAAACCTGTAGATACCTCCGATACCTGATACATGAAAATCTCACTGAAAATTTATATTTTCATTTTCTATACACCATAACATTTTGAAAATATCTTGACTCTTTTTGAGCTGTTTACGGACATTGTTAGTTATAAATTTTTTTTCTATAATTGTCAATCAAATTTTATTTTTTGGGTAATAATGCGTAAAAATGTATTTCAGGGCTCCTGATCTATTGTTACAATAGCAATTATGAATTAAAAAATATTAAAAATACATAGGCACAATTTTTTTTATAAGCATTTAAAGTTCGAATTTGACAAAATGTATCAAATTTAAAATTTATTAATTATTTTGTAGTTAAAAATGTATAAAATGTTCAACTTTTATATCTAAGGGTTGAAAATTTAAAATAAGGTTCCACGTATAAATAGGTTATACCTATATAAATTACTTTGTTCACAATAATATCATCAAATACCTATACTTAGTAAAAAGTAATATCATTACATTTGCTAGCAAGAATAAAGAATAAAAAAAGAAGTACTCATTTGAACGACAATGATAAAATAGAGCGATTGTTAACTTTTGGTTTTCACATTAAAATATATAAATATACATTATCTGGAGCTGCCACTGGCAGAATCCACTGTATTTAAAAATCGTTTTCATAATATTATTGTTGTATGAATTAAAATTGTACGTATTATAATTTTTTTATTTTCTGTTTACATTATTTGGTAAATCGCACATTATTATTATTAATATTCTAGATTGCGGCGTAGCAATTACCGACTAGAGATTGTGTTCATATATAATTTTACGAGGCCGTCAAGAAACCGTCCGCCGTGCAGAGTTATCGTCTGTCCAACCCCTTCGAAAACGGATTTTAGTGTGTTTCCCGCGTGCCGATTTCTCAGAAAGGGTTTTTTTTTCCACGCACAGCGCTCCCCACGGCGGCGTGAAACTCCTCCGGCGACGCATTTTCATCACGCTGGACAATAGTCCGTACAGTCGGCGCCGGCGTGGGTGTCGTTTGCAAGGGCGAGGCCGTCACCCGCGGTCGTGTTTGTATATATATATTATATGATATTATCATCTTATGGTACCACTTCTCAAACGCATACCTAGACCGCCAAAATCGTTTTCCTCAACCGTTTTTTATTTTTATATTTTCGACGACGACGACGACTTTATATAGGATTCGACATAATATTCAATTTCGATCGTCGAATCCGTTTTTTTCTCGATACGCCGGCCGCATACTCACCCGCTGTCACCAATAATAATTCGCGTTCGTGTGCAGTCTTCTACGCCCTGTCATGTGCCGCGACGTGCCCGACCACAATAATTATTGTCACGATAACACCGCCGCGTGACACAACACACAACTTATCGCGGTTCTTCTAGGGGCGTTATTGTTCTACGCCGCGCATACCTACGCGTATGTTGGGTTACCGCAAGTCTGTATTATACGTTATTCATATTATTTTATCGTAACAACACAATATCAAATAAATCGTAATTATTGTGAGAAGTGCCTGTACATTGTACGAAAAACGGTTATTAGGTGCGCCTATTATCATAATATAATAATATCTCTCGCAACCGGACCGCAACAGTCCTGCAGCGATCGATGGACATCAAGGGTAAGGTCGCCATGGTTACAGGCGGGGCCGCCGGCATTGGTCGCGCGTACTGCGAGGAGCTGCTGAAAAACGGAGCCAAAGTAAGATTTCGTTTGTTTGTGTAATAATAATTGTCTTTGTTTTGTACTGCTGTTGTCTCGGCGGTGGATGCGGCGTGGAGCTGATTTTTCGGACACTAAGTCCTGCCTAGAAATGTGTCATATGACATATGGTATAGAGTATAGACGTTCCTACTTCCTATAGTATATGGGATCTATCACTCTCGAAGACGGGTATTGAGAAAAACTAATTCATAGCTCACTCTTCCCTTTTTTTGACATACTTGTTTAGTAGGAAATTACGATTGAACAGAATTATTTAAAATGTATTATTATTTCTGGTTTTAATTTATTGAATACAAGACCTCACGCCGACCACCCACTCCTCCATCCCCCGGACCCACTATCATCTTGAAATTTAATAATATAAAATATTTAAAATAAAATAATATCCAAGACTATTTTAGATAATAGTACATTTTTAGAATTTAATATTAATAATAATAATAATTATTTGTTTTTTTTTGGTTGCCTTGGCAATTATATATTATATGGAAGATAAAATAAACAAAACTTTTTCATATAATAGAAAGATTTGTTTTATATAATATAAATAGATATTAGAAAATATATTGACATACGACATATAAATTACTACTATTATATTTTTCATTCTAATTTCACTCTTGGATTACTCCCTTTAGATTGCCAATGATTAGGTACTGTGTTGTTCTCAGTGAGCTTCTCACAGTAGCCATTATGACATTTATTAATGTAGTCAGCATCTATATTTAAAAAAAAAATGTACTGTAGGTATGTTTTTTTCGTAAATGGCCCTACAGTAAGCTTGTAGGGAGTATGTCGATGTGTAAACACTTTTCCGGTTATTTTAACGTGTTTTCCGCAGTATGACTACACGTTTTTAATTCTTACCTACTAGGTACTCATTTGGCTTTGGGTCTTCACTCTTGGATCTACTTATTACTGCTCCAAGTCCAGTGGCGGACTGAACTTAAATTTTAAATGATGCATTTTCATAATTAAGTATTTATTACTACCACCATAACCATCACCACCCATTATAACTTTTATCAAAATTATGATTTAAATAAAATGTGGTCAAAATAGCCAAGAGGTCGGACCTTAGCATGTAATTCTGAGCCACAGCATATTTTGTTGACACGTTGTCATATTATAATTTATAAGTTATAATATGTTATCTTCAACGATATTATACTAAATTAAGCATTGCATTTATAATATATATGTATATTACAGGTATCAATATGTGACATCAACGAAGACGTCGGTGTCAAGTTGGCTGACCTATTGGGCGCCAAGTTTGGAAATGTCAAAGTGATATTTTGTCCATGCGACGTCACCGATTATCCACAGTTTCAAGGTAAAAACTTACAATTATAAAAATTTAACCAAATAAGTAGGTACTTATATAGGTAATATACAATAGAATAGGCAATTAAATGTATAGTCTCGCGGTAACTGCGCTGTGATGGTTAATCTAAATGCCAAAATCTTGAATAATTAATCTAGTTGTATACTTGTATTATAATGTATAATATAGTAGGCATTGGTTTAGTAGCAATGCTTTTACATTCGTTTAATTAGCTACCTACTAATCATTGATATTTGCTAAAAATTAAAATTAATGATAACATTATCGATTATCGAAGAACAATCCCTAACAATAATTAATATTTAATACTACAAAAATAGTCAGACAGGTGTGTGAAAAACGTTCAAATATTTTTTGGTTTGCATAAACTCAAAAGTCGAAATCCATTTAGGAAATTATTTTTAAAGTTAAATTATTGATTTCCATAGTTGTAGGTATTCAAAAGATTATATGATGTTATGCAGTGGCCGAAGTGGGCAGTGGAATATATATACGAGGGATGGTATCTCTCTTTTAATTTTCCATCCTACTTTTTATGAATCTTTTTTTATTGCAATCTAATTGTATGTATATAATATCAAGTTGAAAGTAAATTGTTACCTTATGTATTGTTATTAACAATTTTATAAGGATATACGTCAATAGATAGCGGATAATTGATAGCGCAACAATTGATAGCGGTCAATTTATAGCACGCAAATTGATTGCGAGCGACTTTTGATAGTTTGACAATTTGTAGCATACTAAAGAATTAGATGACCAAACAATTATCAAAAAAAATATACTATATAGTTATAAATATTGCAAGCCATAATTAAAATTATATATAAAAATCTTTATTAACTAAAAATTATCAAGTATAATATGTTATAACTTATAAGTCATAATTTACGTGTCATACTCATAATTAAAATTTAGCTGCCTAAAAAAAATATATTATAAACATTTTATTAAAATTATTAAGTATAATATTTTATAAGTCATTTTACATGTCTGTCATAATTAAATTTTTTTTGAAATGGTACATGAAACCATCATCAACTAATATATTTGAACCTCTTTCACTTTTTACATATTTTAAAGACATTTTAAAATTACTATATTATATAGGCAATTGTTAAAAGTAGTACTGTTGTATGGTGTTGTACCGACTGACAACTGATATATAGTTTATGGTACAGGTACTACAGTGTAGGTATTGAATTGTCTCATTATCTATATTGCCCATATTATTTTAGATAGTAATATCTATTAAGTTTCCAATCATGATATATTTTATCGGTTTTATTTGGTTTTTTTCGGTTAATAATTGTTTGATTATTGAATTCTATACGACGCTACAAATTGTCATACTATCAAAAGTCGCTTGCGATCTATTTACGCGCTATAAATTGACCGCTATCAATTGTCGCGTTACCAATTATCCGCTATCTATTGACGGGACACCATTTTATAATATTATATTGTATTTACTTACCTGATTTTTGAAAGTTAAGTATAGATACCTACTATAATACTATCATTTGTTTTTATAATTTTATTTTAGTTTTTAGTGATATAATAATACATTAATACATATTACATTAGGAGACAGGAGTTTAAAAATTAATTTGTGTTATTTTAATTTATGTATTTTGTAACATACCCCTAACATTTTTACTATTATTATTATTTTGTCAACATAGGTACATCATTCACAATTTATATGATATACTATATTGGATTATTGGATAATATATAACAATATATAAGAGAGAAATACCTTATTTTTATGCTGTCGTTAGGTTTGTCTTCGTGGTTTTCTAAGAAGATATCTTGAATATGGTATGGTTTTAGTCTAGGTTTGGAGGGTTTTTCGCCAATTTTTCCATTGGATATATCCAATTTTATTTATTCTATAGTGGAAGTTTTTTAATTAAGTAATTTGTTATCCGTGTTGGTATAATTAGGTAGAGCAATCCCTTGTAGAAAGTTGTGAAACTGTTTATTTTTCATGAAACCAAGAACCTTTAATACTATTTCCATGGAATTTATTTTAGAAAGTTTGGAACTTTTATTTTTGTATGGGGTGCAGCAAAGAGCCGTATTGGGCATATTATTGTTTTGATATAAGCCCTTGACCTCACTCTATCGAGTATCGAATATCTGTTATATAATTGGGGGAGGATGTCTTTTTACGTTTTTAACCTAACCTAGCAATGTTTTTGTATTAGTACAAGTTTAACCCTAATTTTATGTGTGATATAATAATATGCTTTGTTATATGCAGATGCGTTCAGAAAGACTATAGCAGCTTTTGGTGGACTTGACATAGTGGTTAACAATGCAGGTGTATTCAACGACCGATTCTGGGAATTCGAAGTGGATGTGAACTTGGTAATACGGTATACCTTAATTATTTTTGTTAAGGGGATTTGATACCGTAATTTTCTGTTTTTGTCGAACACATGCACACTGACATAGGATTTTAGACTGGTTCTTTGCCAAACACACTAATTGATCTAATGAAGTGATAAGAATTCTAAAAACAGATTTGAATTTTTCGTCAAGTCTATTTAAAATCGACTTTCCCATATTTTTGATTTTTTGATTTTAATTTCTCCAAAAATTAAAACACGACAATTTTTAAATACTCTTTTTTTAATAGTATGACATTTTTAGGAATTTGGAGGATAATATCAAACAAGTCGATTTCAAGTAGATTTGACGGCAAATTCAAATCTGTTTTCAGAATTCTTATCGCTTCAATAGATCAATTGGAATGTTTGGCAAAAAACACGTCTAAAATACTATGTCAGTATGCCACGCATGTGTTAGACAAAAACAGAAAATCACAGTATCGAAACCCCATAATATTATTATTATACATGATAGGTCTGTTTTAGTTGAATCTAAAAACTGGTTCGTTTCGAATTTCAATTATTTGAATAGAAAAAATAACTTATAAAATATGTTTAAACGACTTAAACCAATAACTCAGTACAATAACAAATTAGCTGTACGTTATAAATGTATAACTATGTAAAATTGTTCAAACGGAAATTAAAATTAGGCAGTACTTGACATCTGAAGCACATAAAAAGGAATGAATATAATATTTAATATTATCTAGGAAGTTGTATCATTGACATTATGAATATTAAAAATGCTTACACACTCGAAACACACCCCTATTGAATTATTGACTATATTTACGATCTAAAGGGTTACCTATGCTGGAAAATTTTAATCTTTATGTAGGTATACGCTTATGCAGTCACGCACGTATTTTTTGGTTCGATGACCACCACGCCCTATTATACTTCCTGCGTTATCGTCGGAATTCTTACAGTCCAAAATAAACAGCAGTTATTAATTATTTTTTAACATCTAAAAGTGGCATTGTGTTATTTGAAATAAAATATTTTCCGTCCTATTTGAGGACATAACATTCGACGCTGAATGCTGATGAATCGATTATAACAAATAATAATAAGTACAAAATCATTTTTTTTTTTCTTTTTTTTTAATTTAGAACTTATACAATCTGTACTAAAAAAAAGTACAATAAGTATGTATGTTTTTTAAATTATATCAAGTTTAATGGCTTGAGTGTCTTGAGGGAAGGAAACATCCATTGAAGGTACTTCGGCATAAAATAAAATCTTTTTTAAATTTTAAATTTGATCAATTTTGTCAAAATTTGAACTTTAAAATATGCTTATAACAGCTCAAAACGAGTCAAAATATTTTGAAAATTGTATCAAAAATAGGAATTGATAAAATAAGCATTCATTGGAAATTGCATGTATCTACGGTTATTTGATTTAGAGTTACACCAAAAACCGATTTTGCGTAAAAATTACTGTTTTTCATTAATTTTTGTTTTGTTTTTCCCTGCACTTTTGAAAACTATTGATAATTTTGACCTCCTGAATGCACAAACTAGATTCACTTTTGTATCAAATAAGATACTGTTGAAGAAAATCGAAGCAGATTTAGTGCCCCAAACGGTGATGACAGACATAAAAAAAAAATCATTGCTCATCCGCTCAGAATCTAAAATAATAATTTGTTATCAACTGTTGGTAGAATATATTATTATCACATTGTAAACGTGTGGTTTTATAAAAATGAAGAGTCAATATATTCAAATCTACTGTCCATAATATAGAACGGAGTCATACGTGGAACACTGCTGGCGATGCAACTCATGGGCAAGGACAAAGGAGGCCGTGGTGGTACAGTGGTCGTAACTTCATCTACAATGGGATACAAACCATGTCCTAGCATGCCGATCTACACAGCGACTAAACATGCTCTAATTGGTTTCATTAGGTCATTCGGGGTGAGTTGTATAATACAGTAATACACATTATATGTATTAGCTACCTATAATATACTATGATATAAGAGTACCGTATTATTAATATTATTTATTAATTAATGGGTAATTTAAAATTATAACAATAAATTCATTAATATAATTTTAATAATAGGCTAAGACTACAGGGGATACAATAACTATAATTTTATTTCCATTAAAATGTATCTTATTACATTAAACCAGTTATTATTGAGAATAATTCGAAAAAAGTTTAATAGCTATGATAAATAAAATAATATTACCTTTTTACTAAAATAGGTAATTAATAATATTATAAAGCTTGACAATGTATAAATTACATAGAAATATAAAATAAATATACATTTTGATATTATTTGTTGAACAACTATAGTTTCATAGGTATTTACTTTTTCTATATTGATATTAATTGCAAATTCAGCTTCTATGGCCATTAGTTACCTACTTTTATAATTTACATTTTAAAATCAAGGAAGTGCGATCACTGGATGGTTTCTTCCCTCACCCTTTTTCATGTTCAAACGTATTCTAGCACATATTCTTATTATGCTTTGTGCATAGATAGATATCTAATAAAAATTATAAAAAAAAAAACATTTTAAAATAAGTTTTTGTAAGTTCATTAATGGTCGTTAAAAAATACTCAAAACATTGTGTCTGGCACGGAGTGAGTGGCACACAGTTTTGTAATGGTCTTAACATAGGTACCTAAATATGTTTTTGGGGTGGATACTGCACGATAAAATGTTCGATGGTTCGTAAGGGTTTTCGTTGCCATGAGTACTCTGTTTATCAACATAAACATATTTATGATTCATAGATTTTCCTTGTAGAGGAAAAATATAGAGTAGCTTGCTATGTTTTTTTTTATATGGGACTGTATCACTATAGATATTGACGGTAAAGTGTTCTCTTATATTTAACTCTAATGCGTTCCAGGATCCTTATCACACGAATTTAACGGGGATTCGAGTGATCGCTTTATGTCCAGGGATGACACTGACCGATGCTATACCCGAAGACGTTAAATTGGCGTTATTGTCGCCCAATTTTATACATCTCTGGGATAAGGACGTTGCGTCACAAGCGCCCCAAGCGTATGTCGATCATCATTAACCCAATATAAAGTTGTTTGAGTTAACACAATTTTGTTTTCAGTGCCCAAAGTGTGGGGCGTGCGCTAATTCACGTACTACAGAAAGCTCAAAGTGGTTCGGTTTGGGTCGCCGAGAACAACAAATCAGCCAAAGAAGTCAAGTTCCCTAACTTTTAATTTTTAGTGCCATTTGCCAATCATTTTTTATAAAATAATTGTTTTGTTTTTTGATGTTTAAATTATTCTCCACCTGGGGTGGTGGGAAATTTTTTATTTATTATTTATAATATAATTATATGTTTTTCGTATTTAAATTCAAAACCCGTAATTTATCGTTATTATAATTATTATTGTTTTATTCGCGAAAATCGTCATAATGCTTTAATAGGTTACATATAATATAAGCAGGTATATTGTTTAATTTGATAATTAATACTTAGCGCAGTACTTCGATTTATTTGGGTATAGTTAAATAAAAATATATTCATGTTAACGTCACTTCGACGGAAATATTAATTAATCAACGTACATATACATCAAATATCATCATATCGAAGTATACATAAAAACTATATACCTACCTAATGCTCATATATTAATTATTAATCATATTATACATCAATAATATATATATGTGTATATATATCGTAGGAATATATAGATATGTAGTCAGAAAAATCGGTTTAATATTGTTAAACGATTATCTCGACCGTTATTTTTATCATATCTTACGATTTATACACATATTATATATAAATAATATATATTATGTATAATTAAATATTTTTATGAATAGGATTTTTTAATAATTGTCTACGCATTACACCAAAACTAATAATAATTATAATAATTAATTATTCAAATTTTGTATATTTTTAAAATAATCATCGGCTGTGAAACTATTTTGTTTTGTGATAGGTATGGTATGCTATTTACTTAATTAATAATTATATAATTATATTAATAATATATTATATTTAAAATCCCCACATTTAAGATAAGTACCTACTAATAATTAATAACGATATTATATTTTTTTTCCGGTCTATGATATTTTGTTGTTGTACCATTATCATCTTCGTCTTATTACACGTGCATAATATATAATAATATACACAGGGAACATGCAAAATGTCATTATCTAAATTTATATGCTAACTATATAGCTATTCATAACTGTGAGGTACTCGATAGTACATTAGAAGGTACCAATAATTGGTATGATTATTTATCCACAGGTGACCGTATCACACATTCACACATAATATATCACGCCCTCTTTAAATTCAATGATCTTGCCGAAGTTATTTAAAATTATTTAACTCGTAGATAGCATATCAGACCACAGCCAATACATAATTATTATGTAATATATATCTATTATGTAGATATACGTTTTTTTATGATGCTAAATATTAATTACAATACTATTTATTGATTTGATTTTTATTTACATACCTACCTATAATAGTACCTACCTATAGTATACGATAATAATATAGGTATATTATCCCTATATTTCTAAAAAAAAAACCCTTTATTGGTAGGTTGCTATTTGTGATCATCATCTCAAAGGTTAAAACTTAAATCAAATAAAAGTAAAAGTAAATATTATGTACCTAGGTTTAAATATCAAATTAGTATTTTATCGAAATATGGGATGAAATTGAGGCCTCAGCTTGGCTTTTTCTAAATGGATTTACCTTATAATATTTTAATGAAATATTTGCTATTTCACTTATATATAATATGTATATATGGGTATAATTCTAAAAACCAATTAGCAATATTATTTAACTATCAATAGCCATAATATAATTTATTTATATAGTTAATTAATTATCAATACTTATATAATAATATATATTTTATATAGGTAGGTCATCTTAACAATGGTCAACACGCTCTACTGCACAATATATAATAATAATAACCGTTGAAAAACAATAATAATCTTCTAATACCTAACAGGTACGTCAACCACTATAGTTATATAGTATTGACTATTGGTTTAAAACTATTTTTACCTAGGTACCCACACAAAATATTAGGCTCATAGCTTCACCTTAAGGTTAAATGAGTATTAGGCGCCACTGTCGTCATGATCAACATATTTACAAAAACAGAGTTTTCTTAGACTTCGGTAACGTCTTGGGGGAGGTTAAGCCTAAACAAATTGTAATTCCAATATTCAAATCAATCAATCAAAATAATTATTTTTAATCAGTTAAAATGAAAAATTACACATGAAACAAATAATGTAGGAAAATACAAAAATGATCGAATAAGCAAAAAATAAAAATAAAAACATTTAAAATATACATTTAATTATTACAATGTTCAAATATATTATTGAAAATAATTATTATAATAATTAACTGATATAATATATTACTCTAATATAATATAATAATATCATACACACATTTCTTATAAATGTATAATACAATATAACTTAATCGAACCAATAATAAATTAAAACAAATCACATGTTACGCATTATTTGACGTACATAAATATAACGAAAAAAAAAAATGTAATAATATACCGCTTAACCGTCCTTTAGAACCGTATTTATCCATTTGTGGTTCGACTTGACTCGATCGTAGAGCCTCGGTCTCATCATGCCGTCTGCCGAACATGCAATGCGCCAATTAGTGACACCCACCAAGACCCAGCTCTTCTTATTAGCCGATAGGCACATCATCGGACTTCCAGCGAATTCCTCCTCCGTGCAATCGTTATGGTCGTAGATCGAATCGTAGCACAGCCCATTCACCGTCGTGATGCTGATGTTGGTACAGCTGTCCATCGAACTTTCTTTAACCTCGATCCTCTGAAGGTTGTCTCCTATATATTATACAATTCAAATAAGTATTTCCAATAACGTCGATGAACGGTACAATATTATAATATATAATATTATTTATATTATTTTACAATATTATTTGAAAAAAAAAACTTGGGAGAAACTAACGATTTTTCGCCCATCCCAGCGTCTGGCAGTGTAGATACGGTACATCGATCGTCTGCTCGTCGTTCAGGCACACCGGCCGAATATGATCCGAATACGTGACCGGTGAACTTAATTTGACCAAAACCAACGTGCTTCCTTCGACGGGCGACTTGACCATTCCGACGATGTGCCGTTCTTGTTGCCACGGCGACACGGCGTTCAACCTCACCGCTCCTAAACGCGCCACCCATTCGGCTTTGCTTTGCCTATAAATAATCAAACACAGAGGTTTTAAATAGTGTACATACAAAACTATAATATATCAGAGGTACTATTATATATAGAAGTTTTTATTCATATCCATTATTAGGTGTAAGGCTTAAGTATTTTATAATATATGTAGGTATATAGTGGAAACTGGTAAGCCGTGGACGATTATATAGTTTCTAAAACGCAATCGATGTGTTTGCAGGTGTCCCATATTCAAAGGTTGGCAAGTTAATGAAAATAATTAACTGTGGAAAGTTAAGCTAATTCAATTAAATTGCCTTCAGTTAAAAGTGACCAAAATAAATTAACTAGATAAGTTAAAAAGTTACAACAATACAAATCTTAACTGAATAAGTTAATAGGTAGGTAAGTTAAAAACAAAAAAATTAACTAGTTTAGTGAAAACAATTAACTTTTTAACTTAACTTTACCTTTTTAACAAATTAATGCCCACCTGTGTCCACATTATATTATAGTATCTATATACCCATGTACAAACAGATATAATTCAATAATTACCCTTGAAAACACGAAGCACTGGTGAGTAACCATTCGGAAGATATGAGACTACCGTCGCAAACATGAGTTCCACTTTTGTAGAGAATGGCGTGCCAGGGCCAGTCTCCGTGGGAAGCCATTTTGTTCAAACCGTCGATACCGTGTTTCTGTCTCCTGTTTGTCTGTACGCCGCAAACTAAATAATAATATACAAGTTAAAAAAAAAATGTATTCACTCGTCGACGGAGGAATTAATAAGGAGAGTGGGTAGATTTATCACGTATTCTATAATATAGGAATATGGGACTATATGTCTAATTATTGCTTACCGGCGTCGTTGCATGCGACACGCAGAACTTTTTTACTTGGACACGTGCCCAGGTTGAAAGTTATCTCGCTGGCGAATGGATCTACGACGTGCGCGTATCGTGCTGAAGGAGGACCACCGGACGTCGATGTTTGCAGGTCTTCGTCGTCGACAATTTCCACACTTGTCAGATTACTAAAAAAAAGGTAATTTTGGCTGTTATTATGCGTCGACCGAGTTAACAATAATATTATATACACGGTTGTAGTACACCGTTGTGGTATGATTATTGGACAGAATAACATTATATTATGTGTACAGTCGAACTTGGTTAACTATCGAACTTTTTCCCGATCTCTTCAACTTCGAGTCCAACTATACATATACAAATATACAATATACATAAATATATATACATTTATATATAACATGTATACATCGTTATACTGACCATACAGGGTGATTCTTTTATCATGAAACACTCATTATCTCAAAAAGTCTATATGTTTTTGAAAATATTTTTTACATAGTTTCAAGTTGTTACAAAACAAGGTTTTTACTAAAAAATTATATTAAACATTTTTTTTTATCCTTGTAATTTTTTACTTTTTACTATTTTGAATGACAACATAGGGTTTTAATTTCATATTACAAAGCAGATTATTTTTCTAAGTATTTTGATTTATAAAAACCGAATTTAGGGTGAGTAGTTTATGAGATATAAGTATTTAAAGTTTTAATTGGCGGAGTGGAGTGGTACGGGGTTAGTGGCTACCCAGCAAAATGTTTATCCACTAATCCGCTTGTATAAACTTTAAATACTTATAAAGTTATAACTCATAAACTATTCGTCCTAAATTCGATTTTTATGTATCAAAATACTTAGAAAAATATTCTGCTTTGGAATATGAAATTAAAACTATATGTTGTCATTCAAAAAAGGAAAAACTTATACAAATATAAGGATAAAAAACATTTAAAAATATGATTTTTTTAATAAATGTAATTGTTTTTTGAACAACTATGTAAGAAAATATTTTCAAAATCATTAATTTTTTTTTAAATAATGAGTGTTTCATGGTAACATTATCACTTTGTACAGCAGTGGCGTCAAACGCGACTCACGACTGTTTACGCATACGTGTA